TCATCTTTCTCCCATAAAACAGCTGGTACTTTTGAACTGCTGACCCTGAGGATAGCAGCTCGATTCCTAACCATTATGCTACCAGAGCTCCTTGTTTTATAATACTAGGTAAGAGAAACATTCAATATCCCTAGCACATTCACATAAACATAGAACTCTTTTGAATACATTTGATTTTCATCTTCTCTTCTCCACACCTTAACTATCTTCCCATTCATATGCATATGTCCTTGAGCCTCTGGCTAAGTAGAACCAGTAGACCCTGATCTTCTTTCTATCATCTCATTTAATCAGCCTGCCTGTTGTCTCAGGTCACTCACTCCACATGTGACTTTTCTCTCCTCAGCTGCAGCAAAACATTTCTTACTCTCCTTTCAGCCATTTCAGGAAACAACCAAAGTGACTATCTAAGAATCAGAAGGTTTACTTCCCACACTCTTTCTTCTTTCTCTTACATGGTCCTATGCTTCCATGAATCTGGAGCCATTGCAATAAATCTTACTTCTAACTCTAGCTGAAAAATTGCTTGTGAGCAGTGGTGTCTGACCTCCTCTAACTTTATAAGGAGGATGGAGAATCACTATCTGAATCAACAGCCCAAGGCTGATTCCTAGGAGGTGTAGGTTAGATATGCCTGCAACCTCCAACCTTTTTACCTTTTTTGACACAAACCATTTTTCCCATTAGCACTCTGTACTTCTCTGCAAGATTTGATAATTCATTGCAATGGCCACACTGAACTCACATGATTATGGGGTTTACTAGAAAAGTAACTGGTTACAATTGATGTTTAGGAACACTCAGGATACAATTCTTGGATCAAGACAGCCTCTTCTCAACCATGCTTACAGTCAGGTCTCCCTCTGGCGAGCAACCCACTGTCCTGGTCTCTACCCTGCTCAGGCAAGTGTTACAGAGCTTTCAGTGGTGCAGCACTGTGGGCGATTGCATCAGACTGTAAAGTCATTTGAACTGAAAGGTCGGTGGTTCAAGCCCACCAGCTGCTCCTTGGAAAGCCTATACAGGGTCGCTATAGGTCAGAATAGACTCGACAGAACTTAACAACAACAACAATAAGTGCTCCGAGACACCCCACTCTGCCACAGCCTGGAGGCACTCAGTTCTAGCTCTGTGGATTGGCAAACCTAGCTAAACCCACTCCACTAGCAAGTCTTAGAAACCTTGCAAGGCTCCTGCCTGAGAGCGCTCAGCTTTCTCACTGTGTGGGCCATGAAGCCCATGTCTCTGTCTGGTACTGATCTCTTGACTCTGCTGCCTCTGCTACTGCTGTTTCTGTTCTGCTCTTTCTCTGTCTGCTTCTCACTGTCACTCGCCATCTTTGGCATCACAGCTCTCTGTCTCCTGGACAAAGGAGGTTCTCAGTGCAGGATCCTGGGTCCAAAGACAGACTCTGCTCCTGACTCTTCTATCTTGGTGGTTGGTTGTGAGATCCCATAATCCTTAGTATAATTTGATAACTTAGTTTGAAAATAGATGTATAATATTTAAATAGTTTAAAGTATTCTAAATTGTTAATTAAAGTAATTTTTTCCCCAGCAATTTTACATTGAGTGAAAGAGTCCACCAAGCACTTCGGTTATGGAAAACAGAGAGTAATAACTTGTCACCATCTGCAGCTGCTTTAAGAGACCAACTGATTCGGACACTAACCATGATAGGAGCATATGAAATTATAGATAAAATAACAGCCTTAAAACTTTCCACACAGGCAATAAAATTCTAAACAGTAGATCCATAATAAAAACTGAAAACTTAAGATTTACTAATCTCATTGGAACTGGATTTTTAAAATCATCTCACTTCACTTTATCATACAAGAGTCCCTTTATGCTTTCCTAAGAGATTTTGACAATTTACAGTTCCCACTCTCTAACAGTAAAATGTTATATACACTGTTTTATGCATTTGTTTTGTTGCCTTGGAATGATGAACTTGGATTTAAAAAATAAAAATAAGTAGCTCCATTAAAAAATTATTTGTTATATAATGCTTTCATATGTGTGTGTGTGTGTGTGTGTGTGTTGGTGTGCTGTGGAGTCAGTTCTGACTCATAACAACCCTGAAGAGGGTTTCCAAGGCTGTAAATCTTTATGGGAGCAGAAAGCCTCATCTTTCTCCCGTGGAACAGCTGGTAGCTTCGAACTGCTGACCTTGAGGTTAGCAGCCCCATTCGTAACCACTATTTATAGGTAAGGTTGGAGCCCTTCACTTCTCCATCAGAACTGGAATAGCTTTGTTAAACATGAGCCAGTCAGAGCCAGAGCCAGCTCTAATGAAGTTTCTAGACAGGAAACTTTCATATCTAGAAGGGCAGAACGCTTCTATTCTCTCAGAAACAGGTTTGTATTTTCATTGAAAGTCTGAGAAAATACCTCTTGTCATGTGGATCAGATGATGTATAAATAAAGGCTATTTTCACTTTAACTGAAGTCCCATATAGCAGGGTCTGCACTGGAGGTGGCTGAGGGTGGGAACTGACAACAGCTGTGGTCATCAGGGGAAAGTGGGGGAAAAGAAGAAATCACACTTTTCCCTCACCTGTGTGAATCCATTCTGTCAAGCTACCTTTTGTCATCAAATTGCCCACAAAAGTTCAAGATGGTCCCATTGATTCTGGCTGGCTGTTCACCAGTCAATCTCCCTCTCTCTCCATCCCTGCTCAGCTTTTCCTCCCAGCAAGCACTCAGCTCACCTCTCTAACCTTTCCTCTTAAGTTCAGGGTTCCAGAATCTTCATCTGTGTTTGTTTCATTTGGTCTCTTACATCTTTGTTGTAGAGGGTCCGTGTAGTGCATCCGCCTCATCATCTTTGTTGTAGAGGGTCCGTGTAGTGCATCCGCCTCATCATCTTTGTTGTAGAGGGTCCGTGTAGTGCATCCGCCTCATCATCTTTGTTGTAGAGGGTCTGTGTAGTGCATCTGTCTTATCTGCCATCTTGCTGTTGTTGTTGTTGGGTGCCATCAAGTCAGTACCAACTCATAGCGACCTTATGCACAACAGAACGAAACACTGCCCGATCCTGGGCCAACCTCACTACTGTTGCCACACTTGAGTCCATTGATGCTGCCACTTGGCCAACCCATCTCGTTGGGGGTCTTCCTCTTTTTCTCTGACCATGTACCTTACCAAACATGATATCCTTCTCCAGCAACTGGTCCATCCTGACAATATGTCACAAGTATAAGAGGCGATGTTTGGCCATTTTGGCCTCCAAGGAGCACTCTGGCTGCACTTCTTCCAAAATGATCTATTGGTTCTTTTGGCAGCCCATGGCACTTTCAATATTGTAAGTCCTCACTAATTTCTTTTTTAAAAAATATTTTAAAGTGATGACTGAGCCAGTCTCCTGTCTTCTACAACTCACTTTACTCTCTCCGTGATATAACTGTGAAAACTGAGGCTGCTGGGGGCAGCCTATTCCAAAATGAGGGGAATGATAGCAATTCTCATTGCTTTCATGAGAGGAGAATGGGTCTAAGCAACTTTATTCAGAAGATTGCCAACAATTCCTATGCTTGTAGACACCCTGAAGTCCAGTCCATTTTGAAAATCTCTCAACCTCAAGAGCCTGAGCTTATGAATGCCAACCCTTCTCCTCCACCAAGTCCTTCTCAGCAAATCAACCTTGACCCGTCGCCCAGTCCTCATGCAAAGCCATCTGACTTTCACTTCTTGAAAGTAATTGGGAAAGGCAGTTTTGGAAAGGTTCTTCAAGCAAGACACAAAGCAAAAGCATTCCATGCAGTCAAAGTTTTATGTAAGAAAATGATACTGAAAAAGAAGGAGGAGAAGCGTATTATGTCAGAGCGGAATGTTCTGCTGAAGAGTGTGAAGCACTTTTTCCTGGTGGGCCTTCACTTCTCTTTCCAGATTGCTGACAAAGTGTACTGTGTCCTAGTCTACCTTAACGGTGGAGAGTTGTTCTACCGTCTCCAGAGGCAGTACTGCTTCCTGGACCATGGGCTTGTTTCTATGCTGCTGAAATAGCCAGTGCCTTGGGTTACCTGCACTCTCTGAACATTGTTTATAGAGACTTAAAACCAGAGATGATTTTGCTAGATTCCTAGGGACACATTGTCCTGACTTTAGGATCTGTAAGGAGAACATTGAACATAACAGCATGATACCCATCTTATGGGGCACACCTGAGTATCTGGCACCAGACAGTTCATAAATAGCCTTTTGACAGGGTTGTGGACTGGTTGGTGGTGTCATTTTATATGAGATGCTGTATGGCTTGCCTCCCTTTTACAGGTGAAACACTGCTGAGATATATGACAACATTCTGAACAAGCCCTTCAAGCTGAAGACTAATATCACCAATTCTGCACACTTGCTGGAGGGCCTTCTGCAGAAGAATAGGAGTAAGAGGCTTCGTGCCAAGTATGACTTTGTGGAAATTGAGGCATGTCTTCTTCTCTCTAATTAACTGGGATGATGTCATTAATAAAAAGATGACTCTGCTTTTTAACCCCACTGTGAGTCGGCCTAGTGACCTGAAGCATTTTGATCCTGAATTTACTGAAGAACCTGTCCCCAGCTCCATTGGCAGGTCCCCTAGTAGCATCCTCATCACAGCCATTGTCAAAGAGACTGCCAAGATGTTCCTAGGCATCTCATATGCACCTCTCATGGCGTCTTTCCTCTTAACAGTCCTGAGGTTGCTTGTGAAGAATTTCATGTGTGTTTCAAATGTTCAGCTAGCCTTTTGGTGGAGCTGCCAGTTGACAGGACATCTTAAAAGGGAATTTGCACATCTCTAGAAACTGGGCAATCTTCACTGGAAGATTCTTCTGCTGAAGATTCAGCAGAAGTTCCATCTGCTGGAAGCTTTTGGAAGAGCACATCCTCCATTCAGTGGACTTTCACTTTTCTCCTTCCTTCCACTGTGGTGCTATCCCTGAAATGAGCTGCCTCAGACAGATGCAGTGGTTGGTTCGAAGGAAGATGCTGTTCCAAAGAAGCATCTTGGGAACGTCTGTCTGGGCTATAAGGCTGTGATGATGAAATGTGCTTTTTCTGATGAGCTCATGTTTGCTCCAAAGCTTTGCCTATTGCAAAGTTCTAGTTCTTCCATTCTCATGGGTTTGCTGTGTGAGCAGTGGTATGTGTGCTTGACCACAGATGGGTTGTGTTACAAGCATCAGTGTGACACTTGCAGTACTCTGCAATGTGGGACATTGTTTGTTTATCCATATTTGGAAGATAAATTTATGTGAAGACTGCTTTGTTTTTTGGTAAGATATACTTAATAATCAAAATTTATTGAAATGGTCTTGTGATAACTTGTACCCAGATGCTTAGAGAAAGCATTCCTGCTACAAATAATTCTATTTTTAGAAAGGGTTTTTATGGATCAATGCCCCAGTTGTCAATCAAAGCTGATGATGTTTTCATTGTTTAAAATGTCACTTGTAAACGGGCATTATTTATGTGTTTGGGTTTTTTGGGTTTTTTTTGCATTCTACATTATTATATGTGTTGCATATTTGAAAGAAATCTGTACATTGAGCTATAATACTAGTATATTTAAATTTACAGGCTTATTTGTAATGTAAACCACCACTTGAATGTACTGTAATTAATATGGTTATAATATGTACAATCTTTATCCATTCCCTACCACATAACTTTTTGAGTGTGGTGAACCAGTTTTAGTTTACAATAAAACCCTGAAAAAAATATTTTCAATTGATAATTTTGCAGTAAATTAGATTCTCATTTAACAATCGCAGTGGCACTGTAGGATAAGCACTAGACTACAAACTACATGGTCAGCAGTTCCAGCCCACCAGCTGCCCTATCAGAGGAAGATGAAGCTTTCTGCTTTTGCAAAGATTTACAACCTCAGAAACCCCACATAGGATTGCTGAGTCAGGGCACTTAACAGCAACAACATAAATTATTTAGTGACATTGGCTACCTTTTACATAATGTGCTAATATTCTCATTAGTTCTGTTCCGGTAGTCCATTTCCAATCATCTAGTTTCCTTGCACCCTTACCTACTCAGGTTTGCTTTAGGATAATTTCTGACCATTTGGTCTCATATTGATGATATTTTAAAAAAGTAATGCAGGACTCATGGGTTATATTCTTCATTTTATGAGTAACTTATTTAGCTAAAAGGCAACCTCCGGGGATCATTTTCAGGTCAAAGTTTCAAAGATGTTTCAGTTCAAAGATGATAGTCTCAGGGAGTCCTCCAGTATTAACTGGTTCAGTAAATCTATACATTCTAAAAATTTGAGTTCTATTTCACATTTTCTCCCATTCTATCTATTGTGGACCTGATCAAAATGGTTGGTTGTGGTAACTGGGCACCATTGAGTTCTTCTGGTTTTAGGAACAATGAGACTATTGTTCTTATAGATTATCAATCCTGTAGACCTGTTTATATTCTGAGTCTTTCATTCATTTCCTTTTTTTTTTTGGCTTTCAGTCATTTATTTTTATCTACAGTTGTGTTAATGCCAATCAATTTCAAAACAATTAGAAGTTGCTATGATTCAAAGCATAAATACACAAACACAGTACACAACTCAAAACAGATGTACAGCATTCAGACATGACGCAAAACGGACTGTTCATTTGCACACACAGTAGTTTGAGCTCTGTTGGGGCTATTCCTGTGTAGGTTTCTAAAGATTGAGGAAAAAATGACTTTGGTTATCAAATCTACTGTGTTCATATTAGATACTGAAGCCCCTCAGTATCAGTGTGTG